AATATGGAGGTCTCAAGTTCAAATCTCATCATCATCTCAGGATTTTTTCCGGACATAATACCTTTCATCGAGTTAATCAGTTGATCGACAAACTGAATCAGGTCTCCAAAGATTAATTTGAGTGAAATCTCGAATTAATTCTCCTCTTACGATGTTGCCATTAGTTTTTTTCACGTTAATCACGTTACGTCAGATTAATGACCTAAGTAAACGTCATTAACATGACGTCATTTTTGACGAGACAAACTCACGTCGTCATTACGTTAATATCACGTCATAAACTAACGTCGAACTGGTCAAAAACTGACTTTATATTAACGTCATTATAACGTCAGCTGGTTGCCTGGGATTCCACTATCTGAAACTCAAATAAAAATTAAACTCTACTCTTTGAGCACAGAAAAATCTGAAAGAGCGTGTATTAACAGACGATTTGACTGCAAAATTAGAAAAAATTCAGGAAGCGAGTGAAATCAGGGTGAGTTTTTACGTGAGTTTACTCTAAAGATCCTGCATCATAGTTTCACTATTCAAAACCAAGACAAACAATTTGACTGTAAAAATAAAAAAACATCTTTTCAAGTATAGAAACAAACTTTTAAAAAAAAGATGTATGTAATTTTTTTTTTTATTTTTTATTTTTTTTATTTTTATTATTATTATTTTTTATTAATATTTATAGTCTACTGTTTTACTAGAACATAATAAGAGAATTTGAAAGAAATAATAATATTATTGAGCAATATACATTAAAACGGATGTTTAAATTACATTATCTGAAGTCACATCAGCCGATTTCACATGTGCTACTATCATTAAAAAATTATTTTAATATGAATCCATTGTTTCTCCACAATAAAAATTCGTATACTTTTAGCTAATATATTGAAGAAAAACATATATTTCTTTGAAAAAAAATCGAAAGTGGTGTTTTTGAGATTTTTCAATATAAACAATATAAAGCGAGATTATAAACAATTTTTTTAAATAACTGGATTGTGTTGCATATCTAATTAAAGCCTATGAAAAGAGCTTTAACATAAGCTATAATAAAGCTCTCTAGCACCAAATGTTGCAGAACTATACGTATTGTTAAAATTCATGATCGCCAAAAATTGTGCGCTTCTAACTATTTTTAATAATTGATTCTGAAAAAACTACTTGCTCGAAAAATCTAAAATTTTGGATTTTTATTATATTTTACGGGTACAACCTAAACACCGAAAATTAGTGAAATCGGCGACGTCAAGGTTTGAAAATAATCTTTTACTGGGCGATTTGACGTGGAATGACCCGTTTGCGCTTGCGATCAATGTAGAACGAACTTAACGTGTCGTCGCGATGCTTGCCAGATGAACTTGCATCTGACAGTCACAGAGACATTACGCCATGAAAGCATGCTTGCATAATGTCGGCACGTTGCCACTATTTTGCTTACTGGGTATATATCGTGACTACTGTTACCGATACAAGTGACATCAACCATAGAACGTCGTTAGAGAAACAAAGACATACATATATAAATAGAGGTTATATTAGATTTAAACATATTAGACAGTGTTTGTGTATTTTTGGCTTCCAAATCGTAGTCTAATAGTCTCATTACATTCTTGAATGTCTAACTCTACACTGTTTGGTTTTTATGCATAACTTTTAACCTGTAAATGCAATAAATGCAACCTGTGAGTAAAATAAAAGTGGAGGTGATTGTAACTTCAAAAATTGTTGTTAAGTTTTTGATATATTAAAAAATGTCCGAGATTAATTTCATTATTTTCTTCTATTCTGTAGAGCCGCTTTTCTCCAAGCAATAAATACGAAAAACACCGTCTACTACAAATTACTCGTTCGATCGATATAACAGGAAGATTCAGGACCGTCTTAACATGTTAATTAAGACTTCTGTAACTATTACGAATCTCGCAAATTGGTATGGGACTTTTTGACTCAGTTTTACTCTTTCTACGAGAGATTTTACACTAATAATGAGACACCNTGTATAATATAAAGAGTTAGTTGAACCATTCATCTGGTTTCAGGCGTGTTATATTAATTGATGTTTTATCACAACAGTCTTCGGAGAAGTGTCTTAAACATAACACATAGCTTTTTTGTGGTTTCCAGTTTTTTTCTTAAGAAAAGGGAAACTGGAACTAATCCATACTTCACATTTTTCTGCATTTTTTGAAAAACTAAAAGATATTACAAAATAATAATAATAAGTAATATAAATTCATGAAGTATAATTCATTATTTATCAGTGGTATTACTTACGAATAAAAAGTAATCCCACAATTTTTANACTTTGTTATATAGCATGCCGTGCAACTAATCATTATGTTACTAGTGATGTCAAAAATGATCAAAAGATATGCGACGGCTTGATCAAGACTGTCAAGACATGAGTTGCGTTGACATGAGAACTATCTGCAATATTGCGTCATGGTTTTGTTTTACATTTAATAAATGATAAAGATACAACGCAACCATGAATTAAGAAAAAGTATAGAAAAAGTTTTGATGATATTCACTACAGCGTTACTTACGACAAAAAGCGCGTTATAGGCGATCATCCATGACGTAACTTCCGATTACAAAATTCATACCCCCCACTACCGCAATGTTCTTTCCATATTACATGAGAGAAGCCATTTTTCTTTACATCTGATAATCGTTCACGCCTACAGAGTCCGATCATTGCCCCCTCCGCGTTCATTGGCTCACATTTATTAATTTATATCTCACTAACTATTACAAATTTTGCAAAATGGTAAATAACTTTTCTGTTTCGATTTACTAGATCTACCTACACACGTCGGCTTACAAAGGGAGACTACGACGTTGTACCAATCGATTTGAACGAAATTCATAAGATTGATAGATGATTATGTGGAGTATTACAGAGTAAAGTAATAAGACGCACTACTCAAGCATTCGCGAGAAAATCGAATTTGAAAATTTTAAGTTACCTTATAAGGATATTAAATAGATCGTTTAATCGAAGAGCGCGTAGCGTAGCGGTAGCGTACGAGGTTAGTAATGTCGACGCTGCTGGTTCGAGTCTCGATATACTTCTTTTTCTTCTCAAAATTCTACAATATAATCTAAATGTAAGTAAGTTGTTTATTCTAAATGTAAATAACGTTTTTTTTTTATTTATTGCACGTTATAAAAGTGCATTTTTTTGCATAAAAACTGCGATTTAAAAAATACGGTAAAAATAAATATTGGGTCGGTGGAAAAATTCTGCGGATTTTTTAATAGATGACACTAGTGTCAGAAAATAATTATCGCGTGTCAGTCTGCCGCACATATTTTGACAAGTCACACTACGCTTGACATTTGGCAGAAGTGTTTGTTTTGGTCAGACGTGTTTTGCGTGTACGGCATACAACTAAAATAGAAGATCAAAAATTGCATTTTCGCCATATTTTTCTGTTTTTATTCCGTAAAGGATATAAAGCGGCGGACGCTAAGCGCTCAATATGCGCCATGTATGGTGCCTCGGTCTTAAGCGCAGACACATGCAAAAGATGGTTTACTCGCTTCCGTTCCGGAGAATTTAACCTTTAGAGGGCCGGGATTTGAGAAGGCATATCCGTCTTAGTAAAGTGGTAAAAAAGGTATTTTATATCATGGATTGACTATACACTAAGTGTCGATCATGGGTAGCGCCAATATATTGGCTTTCCGATCCGGAAGGGATCGGCCCGCATATAAAATTTCTTTCACATCAATTTGGAAGTATAAATATGCGTTTCCGATGTATTTTTCGACGTAGAATCCAAATCTGATGTCAAAAATACAATAAACCTGAAAACAACCCCTATAAAATTACAAAAACTACTCTTTCTATTACGCAATTTTAATTTTTTTTTAGTTGGAAGTGCAGATATATGTTTCCAATGTATTTTTCAATGTAGAATCAAATTCCAATGTCAAAAACACAATACACTTGGACATAACCCCTATAATATTACAAAAACTACCCCTTTCATCACGTATGATTTCGAAACACCCTCTTCTTTTAAACACGAGCTTGGGACCGTCTGTGGCAGAATTGTTTCTTTTTTTTATTTTAATTTTTTTTGTTTTTGTTTTTTTATTTTTTTATTTTTGTTTTTTTATTTTTGTTTTTGTTTTTTTGTTTATTTTCTGATTTTTTTAAAATTATTTTATTGTTTTTTTTAATTTTATAAATTACGACAATCGTTTAGTGTGATAAATTTCAAAGCAAGGTTCAATGCATAATGTTTTACAACATTTTTTACACTCATATGATGATCGACTTCTCTTTTTGTGTATAGTGCATAGAACACATTGACGTGATAGCGTTTTACCATCATTTGAAGCTTGAATTTTTCTGGGGAAATGTTGTCCATTCAGTCTAAGATCAGGCGATGTAAATGATGAAACTTCTTGAGAATTTACTTGCAAAATATCTCTTACGACGCTCAATCGAAAATCAGAAAACAAAATCGCATTTTTAGTGAGCATCTTGAATAAATTGTGAGCATTTATCAACATCAAATCAATTAAATGAANAAACAATTTTCTATACCATTTCATACATTTTCTAATAGATTCTGTCAAAGATAATTGTCTGTCGATATCATCGATTTTACCCATATTTTTGTTATAATCCACGATACAAATGGGTTTTATAATATCTTCATTGGTTTTGTAGTTTTTCCTACCAATTTTACAAAACTGGTGTTCGTGAATACTTGTCAATACATAAACTTCTTTTTTATCCATCCATTTGATTACCATCCAAGAATCGGTGTGGGCAACTTCTGTTTCACCACGATCTAGCTTTGAACTGAGAGTTGGCATTCTTTTACGATTTTTTTTTTACAGTTCTACAAAGACCAATATTTCTGTCATGTAAGTAGTCTGACAGTTGTAGAGATGTATACCAATTATCAATGTATAACACACGCCCTTCGTTACAATAAGATTGCATAAAATGTGCAACAATATCACCAGAAACGCCTAAATCAAATTTCTCATAATCAGTGTCTGAGCCAGTATATACTATAAAATCTAAGAGAAATCCTGTTTCGCAGTCCGCTAATTCAAATATCTTCATACCAAATCGGTGTCTCTTCAATGGTAAAAATTGTTT